TGGGATTGTGCACTAATCCACAACTATGACTCAGGTTTCACGATTGAGAATGTGAATGAGACCCTGTGCTGAGACCCTATATAATACTGCTTGAAAACATTCTAACATGATGTTAAAATGACGTTCCCGTGATGACGTCAATAGTCTGCGACATTCGACCGTCATTAAGACATCATTTAGTGACGTCATCTATAGTCAGTAAATGATTAAAATTTGACGTCAAATGATGTGTGTTTGCTAAGCTAAAACATTGAATGTCAAATGTAAAGGTATTTTGGGAATTTGTAAAATTATTTTAAAATTATAATTCATAATTAATAAAAAAACATTTTCAATGTGTAAATGCCATGTTTTAAATGTTTATAATTTTAAATTAATAGAATTTATTAGAATAATTTGCTTTTTTAATTTTCGAACATTTTTTCTTTTGCAAACGTATATGAAATTATCAACTAGCAATGAATATTTTTTAATATTAAATATTGATAAGTTGATAATGTATAAACTGTTCTGTTCCATTGATAATGTATAAAATGTTCTTTCCTCTTTATGTCTAATAATGTATATTTCGGTAACTGATCGATAATTTATCTAATTGTTTTGCTTTGATTTGTTTGATTACTTTATAAAATTAATTATTTCCTAAATTTTCAATCGTAGATTCAAAATTTATTGTCATTTCTTAGTTGTAATAAATTTTTTTGAAGTTGTAATATTAGACAAGGCTGATTTTCTCCAGTAATATTCAACTTCAATTGAAGACTCATATGGTCTATTAATCCACATTAAGAATGCTATACTATGCTTACATTCTTCTATAATTAAATTCAATTTATTTATAGAAACTTATATATTTACACATATGTATTATATTTTGGATTTATTTTTATTTTGTATTTTTAAAGTCGCAAATGACTGAATTCTATAAGGATATTTAAATGACTGTTTATTGAATTATTACTTTTATTAAATAAATTTTAACCTTCTGATGCTGCACATTCAGATATTCTACGCGTTGAACTTCTTTTTCTTCATCGATAATATAGATTACACTATAATAAAAAGTAGTATACAAGAAAGACTAAGAGCCAATAACGTATAAAAGAATTTTAATTTAAATAAGCAAAATTAATACAAAACAATTATAATAAACAAATGTTTCAACTCCAATTGAGTCATTTTCAATGTAATCTTAAAATATATAAACATTGTTCTAAATGAAAAATATGTACATGGTCTTACAATATTATTACAATCCCTTAATATGAAATTTTTCATTCTGTGTAGTACTGCTGTCAATATAAGTTCAAAATCTCCATCAGTGATTTCCAACCATCGTATTGAAGAGAATCATAACTTTAAATGGAATAAAGTGGACATATTAGATGTAGAGCCTTCATATAATAAAAGGTTGATATCTGAAATGGTCCATATTAAAAAACAGAAACATAAATAGACAAAATGACACGGAATCTTTGCTGGAATTGTATTCTGACATTATACATTCTCTTTCTCCTTCCTAATATCTTCTCTCCTTTTTCCCCCCTATTTTGCCGTTTTTCGTTCTCGATAATGTTTTTCTTCTTGACATTTCGTTAGTTGACATCGTGCAAGTCAGATGCTTGTTACCTTTGCAAATTTGTTTATAATAACTTATTAAATAAAAAGACTATTATATTGTACCACGAAATGGATTATAATCTACATGCGTTTTTTTTTGTTGTTTATTAATGGACTCTTAACACATTTACTAAGATACATTATCATATTACTAATTTTTATGTAATTAATATTAATTCTTTTTGTTCACGATTACTTTTCCAGAATTTTCTTATGACTTTGTTAATTCTTTATAAAAATGACTCGCAGCATACTATACAGAATGAAAAATTTGATATTAAGCGATTGTAATAATATTGTAAGATCATGTACAAATTTTTAATTTAGAACGATGTTTATATATTTTAAGATTACATTGAAAATGACTCGATTGAGTTGAAACGTTTGTTTATTATAATTGTTTTGTATTAATTTTGCTTATTTAAATTAAAATTCTTTTATACGTTATTGGCTCTTTGCCCTTCTTGTATACTACTTTTTGTTATAAGTACAGAGCCTTTTCAATTTTTTAGTTTTACAGTATAATCTTTTCGTCGAACTCTGTGTTCAGGATAAATTTTTCCTTTTACTGTACAAATAGAACCTTCCCATTTGATGCAACCTATCTATATGTCTAATATCACTTACATAACTGTGCGAGAGCGCACCGCGCGTAAAGATTCGAGTGAGAGTTCGGCGCACGGCTGGTATGATGCACGACAGTAAAATCAACTCAATTTCTTTGTAATTTAACAAAAGAATTTCTTTAATATATTCAGTTACAAAGTCAAAAGATATAATTAATTAAAGATTAGATTAACAGAATATTAAAAGCGGTCACCTTTTCCAAATTGAGTTTGGAATCGCGGTGATGGAAAATCTCGGCGATTTTTCTCGACGCTTCTCGAAAGTTTCGGTTTATAGCGATTTCACTAAACGGTTAGCACGGCGATTTTACGAAGCGAGATTATGACTCTAAGAACTCTAAGAACTTTTGGAAGTAAGAAGGAGGACGGCGAGATCGAAGCATTTATTGCTTTCGGCCTGAGCTTTCCCTTTTGGGAAAAGTCCAATAAAAATTTGCCACAATCGTAATTATTACGTGGCATTAGGTGTACAAAATTGATTGGCGCTTTGGATTCTTTTCTAGCGACGTTCAACGTAACAGTCATGCGCGACAGAAAATCCGTGCGTGGGATTGGTGACAGCGCGTGACGTATTCGTCGGAGCGCGGCGCTCGCGTGCGCGAATTGAATTGTTCTAGAACCTTCGATTGTCCGTTGCCGGTAACGACAACTTGTTTGCGTGTAACGAATTGTTTTTAAAAAGAACAAAGAACGACGAATTTGATGATTTTAACGAGGATTAAAATCATGTTTGAGATGAAATCACGAGCTCAATTTGTGCATGCGTTCAATGACAATTAATGTCGATCGACTGAAAGAATTCTTGCTTTCCTTTCGAATTACCGATCTCAAACAATAACCTATAAGTTATTCCTATAAATATGCTATAGTAAAGTCAGTGTATTTTCCTCTTGACGATCTATGATATATTAATTATAATATTTATTCATGTTACTTAGAATAAAATTGAAAAAAATTACTACTGTAATAATAAAAATATGATAATTATCCAGAAGATAATCTCCTCACCTTCAATTTCAATGAAATTATGCTCATTCGATGATTATATCATTCGATGTGTTTTTGCATGAAACGAAAGAATCTAGCAGTTAAATGTTGTGCTTAGTCCTGCGAAGTGAGATGTTTATATAAAGCAGGGTTGCCAGATATTTGACAAGCGTCGTCGCCGATGGAGGGCTTTCGTGTCGTGCCAAAATCGCCCAATTGAAATGCGCTTTTCAAAAAAAAAAGGAAAAAATAGGAGAGAGAGAGAGAGAGAGAGAGAGAGAGAGAGAGAGAAAAACTCTGTACCATAAATTTTTGTATTTCTGATGAATATTGAATATTATACATTACCGGCCTATTTTAAAAGTGTGTGTAGGTACATTTATTTCATTTGCGGAAAAACTACACAAACTTTAACAGTGTTTGCCAATACCAATGATGACTTTTCCAAAAATATAATATGAGAACACAAATACTGCAAAGTTTGTGTAGTTTTTCAAAAAGGAAATGTGTACTTACGCTTTTTAAAAAGTTATTAGGTGTACAAATAAGTTTTAAAGCGTTTTTTGTGTAACATATAATTTAAACTTAGAATTCAAATATTTTCGCGCTCTTTTGATATGTAGTGGCGCTTAAGGTGTACTATTAAAAAACATAATTGACTTCACAAAATTGGAAACTTAACCTCAAAATTAAATGGTTTTAAAATGGCGAGCGACAAGCAATTTATTCGACACTGCATTCGATACGAATTTAGGAAAATCAAAGAAAAAGCGCTGCTAAAGCATGTGAATCAATTTGTTCTGTTCTTGGAGTCAATGTTGTATCCAAAAGTACGTGTGAGTTTTGCTTGTTTTAGGCGATTTAAAGAGGATGATTTTGATGTTAGCGATAGAGAACATAGTGGTGCTCTTGAGAAGTGTTTGAATCTGTACAATAAACAGCATAGAAAATCTTTCTTATGGAAAATTGTGACTGGTGATGAAAAGTTGATTTTTTACGATAATCCTAAAAAGAGAAAACATTATGTGGATCCAGGACAACCCACTACATCAATGTCAAAACGCAACATCCACAGCAGCAAAGTTATGCTATGCATCTGGTGAGACATGAAGGGTGTGCTATATTATGAACTGCATCCGAATGAAACAGTTAACAGTGATCGCTACAGTCAACAATTGATCCGTTTAAATCAAGAAATCGAACGAAATCGTCCATTTATTGGCAAAGGAAAACGTCCTGTGAAATTGCTTCATGACAACGCTAGGCCTCATGTTGGTAAACTTGTAAAGGAAATGTTGCTAGCTCTTGGTTGGGAAGTTCTGCCGCACTCGGCGTATAGCCCAGACATAGCCCCTTCTGATTATCATTTATTCCGGTCAATGCAAAACGCAGTGTACACTTTCGAGCATTTGAAGAAGTGCGAAAATAGGCGGATAATTTTATCGCATCGAAAGACGAAACCTTCTTCGCTTCTGGAATTCGCAAGCTGTCCGAAAGATGGCTAAAGGTCATAGATAATGATGGAGATTATTTTGATAATTAAGTGTGTTTTCGTTTCTAAATAAATAAATATTATAATAAATTTCATTAAAAACGCTTTAAAACTTATTTATTACACCTAATATTTAGGTCCAATTTCACAACTCACGATTAACTCTTAACGAAGTTGAACTTATTTCTTATTTTTTTTCAATTCTAGAATTAGAAAGAAATAAGGAATAAGTTAAACCTCGATTAAGAATTAACAGTGAGTTGTACAACTGGGCCTCAATTTTCATCACTCGCATCCCTGAACAATGTTAATCCTTCCTCAAATGCATTTTCCTTCTCAATATTATTTGCGGAACATGAAACGTCACGACTATTTACTGTTTCATATATGGCAGACGTGAACAGTTTCAACATTTTTTCTGTAATTTCAAAATCTTTACAACAGCACTTATCGATTACAACCAAATGAATACGAATTCTGAGCAGAGCAACAAGCATATTAAATTCTAATCGATTACGTGGCTTTGTTTTTATGGTATTCATATGAGAGAATACGCATTCTACGGCTACATTTGAGAAAGGAAGACAAAGAATACGCAGAGCAAATATTGCCAATTCGTTGAAAGGATGATCTCCTCCTGCATTAATAAGCAGCATTAATAAGCTTTTTCATTTGGACCAGAATTGTACTGAATTTGAAAGCTCTGTATCACCGAATTCAGATGGTCAATCAATAAATGGAAGTTTTCGCCACTGTTCTTCGAGAACTTCTTTACATTTGATCCTGAAATGAAGTTTTTATAAATGGTAAATAATTAAACTCTTCGTAAAAATTGCATTTATTTTTACAGAATACAATATAAAACTATTATAACATATGAGAACTAGTGGAAGTTCTTTGAAGGCAGGTTGGTGACTCGACGAAGGCAATATTTCGGATGCAAGAATCGCACTGCTTCTAGAACAGAGACATTTGTAGGCAGTCTGTTGGCGAATTCTATGCATAAAACTCTTAAAAACTTCATGCATCGATCCTTCACTTCATAAAGTGCTTTTTTCGAAATCTTACATTGTTGCGCTTCAATTTTAAAGTTATCTCCATAATCAACGAAATCAAGTGATAAGAAGCAATCATTTTAACTTAAATATTTTTTGATTGATTCTAAATTTTGAATATTTAGACGCTTGTTATTGAAAACAAAACGTATAAATATAGTAAAAATACGGGTAACCAGTGATAATAGCAGAACTCACAGATCTCCAAACAGTTTAGTTACTTCAGGATTCTCTTTTTGAAATAAGAAATTCTATAACCTCTTTTAAAACGGGACGTAAAAAAAGGAGATATAAATGGTTCGAATCTTTGAACATATCCCGTAGAATACGTGCCATGTAACACTTATTTTCCATCTGCATTGCCATAATATTAAAATGTGTTTTTAATTCTAACCATTGATCTAAAATGCTTGCCACAGTCCCAAGCTAACCATCTAGTTTTTAATAGTTTTACAAGCTGTTCATTGCCTCCTCGTTTATCGTAGCATATAAACTGTTGTATAGAGATTTACGAAGCGGAGAACATGAAAACCAGCTGTTGGTTTCTCTAATAAGAAATTCCAGCGAACTAGACAATTCGTCAGATGCTTGTGATGCTGCCAGATGAAGTGAATGACACATGCATGGTATCAATTGAAGCTCTGGGACCAGAAAATTGAAAAGTCCGACTTTACGATTTGAATTTCAGATTTATAATTACAAGCAAATTTAAAATTTAATTGGATATACTTCTTATAAAAAAATTTTTGAAAGTTATGAAAATTATTATCAATTGATAATTTTACTTTGAAATATTGAAATTTTACTTTAAAAATTTGGAGTTAATGAAATTTCGGAATAAAACTGTTAATTAAGAGCATTTTTATGATTTCTAAATAGCTTTTATTCCAAGAGATAAAAGAGATAAAAGAGAAGTTTGAAAGAGATAAGCATATATTTTTGATTTCATACATTCATGACGATCATAGAGAAGTCTATATAGGGAATGATTGCAGCCAATCATAGTGCTCGCGTTATCAGTACCGAATCCTACCATATTTTTAACATCAAGTTTTATAGTTGCAAGATATTCTATTGTAGCTTTACTGTAAAGATCTTTTGCACTAGCTTCAGTTAAGCTGATACAGCCAAGAAAGTCGGTAATAATTTGCTGTCTCTTTTTACTGAAGTTTTGGATACAGAATGCGAGATATTTATACACTGACAAGTCAGTGGATTCGTCTACTATAAGTGAACAGTAAGTTTGATATCTATAGCTTCTATAGTGGCTGCAATTGCATCTGAAACAATTGATCATTTTGATATTTATAATATATATATATATATATATATATATTAGGAGATAACAGCCGAAAAATTAGAAAATTTAAAAATAAATTTATTAATGGAATAACTTTATAAATTACAATTTTATTATTCTCAATTGAGAGAATACTTGTGAATAAATACAATATTTATATTATATAAAATAAAAAATATTTACTTACCATATTTTAATTTAGGCTAAACACGCATATTTATTCATATTTCGTTTATAAAGAGTTCGGTTGGCATGTTTTATAAGATTTGCATGTTGTGCGCGTAAATTTATTTCATACTTTACATCGAGCCTCTTTGTTATCGATTGTGACAAACGTGTCTTTGTTCTCTTCTAGCCAATCTATAAGTCCATACTACAATTTTTATTATTTATTCATTTATATTTTAAACCTTCGTCAGTATTGTTGAGTAGTTTAAGCCGTAATCACACCACAAATTGTTGATTACAATTGTTATGGTTGCATTTTAGCAATAATGATGCAACAAGTACAGATTAGCTGTAACGTGATTGGCGAAAATAGAACCGACAACCATAATCGGATTTAGGACGTGATAGAGAGCCTCCCGCAATACATTCATTTTCTTAACATTTACAATCAAAATATTGATCATAGTGTGTCGTTAAAGAGTCGTTAATTTCAGATTTTGAGTTAATTTCAGAGCATTCCAATTTGCATGTTTGAAATTAAATTTACAATTGACACCATTACAAGAAGGTTCCTTGAAATTAATAGATCTTGGCCAAAGGCTATTTGATTTCGTAAATGTGCGAAAAATTGATAACATTTTTCCTTAAACAGCATTCTTTAGAGTCGCGGTTCAATTCAAGCTCAGAACGCTCATAAGCATCATTTGTCTATATTTAACATTTGATAAACAATAAGAATGAAATTATTTTCAAGCATTGTGAACGTGAATCGCGACCTAGATGTTAGTTCAATTCTAAAAATGTTGATAACTAACCTGTAAAAATCTTTTCTTTTGCGATTCCCATTCTTTGCAATAGTGTTTTTTATATTTTCCGTGTTTACTCATCTTCAAATTCGCGCGTTAATACCTCTCGGATCTCCGATTAAGCTAACCACAACAGTGTCGCTACGCGTAGTTTAGCGCCGAGACACTACCAGTATCTTTAGACCGAGCTAACGGATAGATTGTGTTCCAATATTTAATTGTTAGCTATTAATAGTATAATAAACATTACGTGCACTATATATTTTCAGCACTGGCACAAGCCATATCAGGAGCCTTGCAGAAGTACCAACAAAAATTCAATAGTGTGTTCAGCAACAACAGTTGAAAGTGAGCGCCCGCTGCGGCGCTATTGATGTATTCTTCTACTTGCTATTGATATATTCTTCTAGATGTAAAAATCTTATTGGACGATATATAAAGGGGGCCTCGGCGCTGCTGTCACGGCGTCGCTTAAAAGTCGCCGTAGGGAAAAAGAAAATCGCCTAATTTGCAACATGTTGCTCTCGGTCATTTTTTGTCGTAAATTCTTATTCCAAGTCGCCTAAAAAGTGACATGTCGCTTAATCTGGCAACTCTGATATAAAGTTGACGACTATTTAGGTTAGAAAATCTGTCATAGTCGAAACACTGCGATGCAAGCATGCGCTGACATTTTTATGCTCTAGAAATACTATCACACTCCGAATTCTAAATGGATTTTTACTGCCTCTAAAAAGATTGTTCTCATATTTCACTGTCTTTATAGGTTAGAAATATTTCAAGCGGACACTGTCTAGACTGCAACTTATAGGCGGTTAGACCCCAAGTGGACATGTATTTCCTTTTTGTTCGGGGCGGTGTAGCCGCCTATTGTCCATGCACTCCATTGTCTACATGGGTTACTAAGGAGCAAAAAAAGATATATGTATTTAACAATTGTTCTATTCCAAATAAATCATAATCCATAGCCGTCCCGAACAAAAGAAAAAAATAGCATATCCTATCCGCTTGAGGCCTATGCACATGCACACATCGTGTAAGATTTTCCATATATATTTTATTTTATGTATATATATATATTTTTTATGTATATACATATATATATTAGGTGCGCAACTAAGTTCTCGCTGTTATTTTGATGAAAATGCAACTTTATTGTGAAAAAATGGTTACAAATGAATCATTGAAAGTATTGCCCATCGCTAGCTACTATTTTTTCCCATCTTTCTGGCAGAGTTCGTATATCATCACGATAAAACTGTTCACTTACTGCTGGAGCCATCTGTTGACAAACAGCGGGAACTTAGTTGCGCACCTAATATATAGGGTGGCATGAATATACGGCCCCACTCGTCTCGTCTCGAGCAGGTAGAGTAGACTAAACTAAATAGAAAAGTCCTCTACCATTTTATAATGCTCGCAATAATTAACGATAATTAACGAAGATATTAATATTTAAAGATAACCGAATACGTCCTCCCGATCTATTATTATCGAAAGTACGGCCCACCGAGCGCGCGAGCCGCGAGGAGCGGAGCTTACCATCGTCAGCATTTAAGTTCAAATGGTGCGGCGCGTCTGCTAGGCCATTCCCGCTCCTCGCGGCCTGCGCGCCGTGTACTCGGTGGGCCGTACCTTCGACAATAGTAAATCGAGCGGACGCGCGTATTCGGCTATCTTTAGAGACGTTAATATCTCGTTAATTATTGCGAGCATTACATGGTAGAGAACTTTTCTACTCAGTTTAGTCCACTCTACCTGCTCGGGACGAGTGGGGCCATATATTCATGCCACCTTGTATATATGCCAAATGTTTTTACATGAAAAATTTTTCTATTTAAATTAATTTTTTTCGTTTTATACGATTAACTCTTTAATTTTTTGTGATAACACTTAAATTGAGCAAGGTAACGCAATTTTGTGATAATGTTTTGTATAATATTTTGAAGGAGAATTAAATAACCACTACTTTAGTTGGAAGAGAAAATGTCTTTGAATAAATTGTGATAATAATTTCATTTAAGAGGAATTTAAACTATTTGGATTGGAATAAGAAGATTCTTCAATAAGATATACTTAGGTTTCATTTCATAAAAATTAAAGATAATATCATTTGGATTAAGTAAATAATAACAAAGATAGTATCACTTGGGTTTTACTTTTGATTTTGATAGTAGAATTTAACTTGGCGCCAGAGTTGTTGATATCAATTCTTTTATACAAATGATACACATCATTAATATTCATTATTTATTTAATTTGACACATTATAAAGAAATGGGATTTAACTTTGCGCTCTTGATATCAAATCTATTAAAGGAATAGTACATATAATTAAAGTTAATATTATTTATATAATTTGGTATCCGAATTACATGGAATTTAACTTGGCGCCTTAATTTTGTTGTTATCAAATCTTTTATACATATTATTAGAGTTAAATAAATAACAAGAGACAATACCATTTGTGTTTTATTTTTTAATTTGATAGAATTTAACTTGATTAGTTAAGATTGTAGCATTTGAATTTTAATTTTTCATTTGATTAATTTTTTTCGAAGAGTAATAATTTTTGACAGAGAATTAAAATTGCCATTACTTAGGATTAAGAAGACTTTCAATAAGAATATCTTTGAAGAAAAATTAAAACTACTATTAATTGGGTTGGTGATTAACTGTCAATTGAAAATTATTGAAAAGAAGAATTTCTGAAATGATATATACATAAAAAGCCAAATAAGTAGTATCAATAAGCAAAGTGACACTGAAGGTCTGCCCGATGTTTATCTGCCTTTTCTAAAGAAAGATCTCTCTCACACTTAATAAATAATTCTAGAACAATCTAAACTTTTGACATATATATAAATAGTAGTAACATATATGATATGACAAATAATAATACACAATGTCACGACGAATTTCCATTTGCGTAAAGGAAGTGCTTAAGATTCATCATTTTTTCTGTAAAACAGGTAATGATTCAATTGTCAATTGACTAGAAGATATTAATGATAGGTTAATTTTTTAAATTAGAATCTGGAAATTCTTGTTCTACATAATTTGCAATTGGCGCTGCAACATTGTTGTATGATGCACAAGAAAGAACACATTTATACATAGTTATATTACACGACGAATTTAATGTCAGATATATAGTTATATTACACGACTGAATTTAATCAGATATATGTAATTCTGCATTTCAAGAATATTTGTGAATTTACTGAAGATGACCAGAGATTGTGGTCGAAACGTCTAAAAAATGTTTTATTAATGTAATGATATATTAAATATCACAAACAATATCTTGTGCTGTGGTTTTATGCTCTTCTTTTTGTAAGTTTTAAAATAAAATAGATTATATATCATAAGTCTCGACTGTTTGTCGTCGTGTGTACCCACAATGTCGATCTTCTTAGTATTTTCTGAAAAGAATAAAGCATTAATATAATAAAAACAATAACACAATATATGATTTAATCAAATTCATATAACTTACCGATAATAGATCATATTTAACTATTAATTCTTCCCGTCCATTTCTTAAAACGTAAAATTATTTGACTGATCATATGAATTACGACGTCATCTATGCTCGGTTTCAGGAGTAGGCTTGGTAAGATCGTAACAAAGCTTTCAAATATTTTTTCTCTGTCAAACGAAACAAGTAATAATTAGCGATTGTCTACTAAGTTAATTATATGTTATCTCACATATTCTTAAATGAGTGCTTTACAAAAATTAAATTATTTATCGTTTACAGTTTTTACTTTTTATTTAAATTAAATACAAATGCGATTGCAATTCTTTCTTAGGCAAACGAGAAGATGCTTCAATAATCAGTCTTAAAATATGATTTAAATTAATACAGTTGCTATACCAAACTGGTCCAGCTTTCAAAAATAAAGTTTTTAGTAGTTTATTTGAGATAAAGTCGACGAGTCGCACCAATCTTCAATAATACCTAAAAATGAGAAAAGTTTCGTAAAAAAGGCCTCATATGATAATTAGATAATAATATTACTTGCGTTTATTACATAATAATAATTTACCATTTAAATACAATACTTCAGAATATGCAATATGAATATGCAATAGCTTCTGACAGATTTGGGAAATTGTTCGTTACAGTTAAACAGAGATGTAAATCATACGTGAATTTGACAGTTTCAAATTTTGTTCCAAACATTCTTTCGTAAATTCCATTTAAGAAGAATCTTTTTGACGTTTTCTGGATAAGAGGCTTTACTTTACCATAAAGAAACCTCGATAAGAAATTTTTTTTTTTCATATATGCATCATGAAACGTATATTTAAACCAACGCTTCATACGTTTGATGCTACAATCATTCTGATCCAACAATCAATCAATATATTAATGTATTCCATAATCGATTGCATAATTACAATTTGCTCAAAATTGTAATTTCTGTGTAACTCTCAACTTTCTCATCTGGACATACTTTGAGCCAAATACCAGACATTAATGGCATCAATAAATTTACATATTTTACAAATTCTTCTATAGGTAAAGTTTCTTTCCCATGATTATCTATCAAGATCATATCTTCGTCAAAATTAATTTCACAAAATTGAGTCGCACTAAACTATCGCTATAAACTGGAATATATTTTTTCGTTTTCACAAACGGAGGCATAATCGATCATGTACAAAGTTTCCTGTAGTTAACAAATTTACATTAGTACTTTTTGAATGTAAGGTTGTCATTAATTGTGCCACAGGGCTACCTTCATTATGTAACCTGTACATCATATTCAAAAAATTAGGTAATATTTTATGACTATCTTTCGCCAATGCACTATATTACAATTTTGTACAAGCACATCTAAGAAAAGTAGAGAATCTTCTTTCATGTGGATCAATATGTGTCATTGCTCAGATACGATATTATATAATTTCATGCAAAGATATCAACTGTTCATTTGAGATAAGGCCAAGAATAAAATTAAGTGCATGAAATGAATTTGTACGTATTTCTTTCTCTTTATCATGAGATAAAGCTGCGGTACCATGTAACAAAGAATTCAATTGTGAATGTAAAGATTTTAGATGATTTTGTAACAAGATGTTTTTTAATTGTTTCAAAGCATCTTGTCTCACAGTTGAATTGTGATGCCGAAAACGTGTTAATAAATCTTGGAAATACATTACAAGTTACATAATAATGTACATACAAGGTCGAATTATGACGCACTAAACAAGTAGGTTTATGCAAGACATCAACATTTGGCAATTGTTAAATTTAATCTCCTCGAGGTTGATAAAATTAGACTCATTCGACGCACGTTTTTGCACTACACAAACAAATGGCAAAAAAATGTGTCGCTCTGCCCTGCGAACCGAGTTATTAATTGTTAGAGTTGACAGATATCCAGATTAGGAAATCTGTTGCATCGATGGTATGGAGAGTTAAACAAATTTTCTGCTTTACAAATTTTCTGCAGACAAATATTTAACCAAGACAAATACAGTTGTAAAAATAAAAATTATATAGAAAATAATTTATATTCTTAAAGCAAAGAATGTGTTCTTAAAGCAGAGAATTTGTGTAATTGAAGCAGAAAATACTTATTCTAGCTTCAATTACATGTTCTCATATTCTTCTATGCCGATGTGACAGATTTTCTAACTTGGATATCATCAACAACTTTAGCAATTAATATCTCCACGGCGTAAAGCGGTACATTTTTTTTACCAGATTCATTTATTTCGTGCAAAAACATGAGTAAGTCTAATTTGTGTAATTGCAGAAAATCACTTACATGTTTCTCTATTTTAATATTCTTAATTTATAAAGAGATTTTTAAGAAGAAAATTTTAAGATTTCGCTTTTTTTAGCCTTCCTAGCATAAGGAGACGGTTGCAGACGATTTATTGCAGTGTGACGTCACGCATTTGTTAGCCAATCAAAATTGTTTTCTCAAATTTCAAATATTATTAAACTTTATTTTAGTTTTTTAGTACCTATGTATTGGTAAAAATTACAAATTTTATTATACATAAATTTATAATAATGTATATTTTCATAATATAAACAAAAAAAAATGTATTTTTTTCATGCAAACTCCCTATCTTTACCAGAAACAAAAAATTAAGAAATATTTTTAATTGTTATAGTTTTTCATTCTAAATGAACTTAAGAAATTAAAAAAATATATGTATATATTAAAGTTTTGTGCGACTTTGAAAAAAAAAGTTACGATTTTCACTAAGTAGCAGCCGTTTCTTTATGCAAAAAGAAATTGTTAATGTTGATTTTTATTTAATTTTTTGGATTCATCGAGGATGGTCAATTGGTCAAAAATTTTTTTTTTCAATCGTGTAAACAAAATTGAAGGAAATGCAAGAAACAGATTTCAAATAAAAATGCGTTTAAAGTTTTTAATTTAGTTCTTGAGTACTTGTGCTCGGAGGCTAATCTGTTATTCCAGGTATATACAATAAAGCTTCCTTATGGAATTCATTTTGAGCAATTTGAGTCATTTTGTTCGGATCTCTCATGCTATTAACAAAGGAACCAATTGTCTCTGATTTTAATAAGCTTTGAATATATTGTAAAGCATGAAAAAATATTAGATTTATATTTTTTGTTCGTGCTTATTTCGAGGTGAAACACCTCTTCCGAAAAAATCATTTTTTTTTCTTTCGAAACTATTATTATCGAACTAGAGAAAGATAGAAAAAATTTTCTCAAAATGAAAATTGAAGAGTATTTTGAGAGTACTTTAGAACTATAACAAAAAATTTTTTTAAAATTATATATATAATACCTGTGCGCCGTGCCCATATATACAAGCGCTGAATTTATACCGAAGGACTTCGAATTTTACTCTAAAATTTTAGGAAGATATCTCGAAGAGTTGTATTACCGATTTATGAAAAGAAAAAAAATCGACTTCTTTTGTCCCTCTACTGTAGGAGACCTCCTTAAATGTCATAAATCAATCAAATCATAGAATCATATTAACATTAAGATAATCTTATTTAAGATAATCTTGGAATAAGAAAATATGAATAAATTTGCATTAAACAATTTTAATATAGATATACAGTTCTAGTAATCGAATTTTAACTAGATATGAAGATATGACATATGGTATGTTTATTAGGAAGTTTGGAATTGAAATTCTTTGCTAAATAAACTTTAAGAAGACTAACTGCAGTATTGTGCAGTGATATATTCTCTTGTTTTATTCGCATTTTAGGCAGTCACATATTTACATAGATACCATGAACAGTAATGCTTACGTACAGTTCTAAGTGTGGATTTTACATACCTACATCATGATATATACAAAAATGTACGTATCAGAACTCATCTCCCTTTCAAGAATTGTTGTTATCATGCGGATTATAACCACAAAATAATTATTTCTCAATATCGCATTGATCAGTAACATGCCGGAATCGTATTGTTATAAGGTAAGTATCGATTAAATACTTACTAAAATGTGACACAGTAGTATACATGACATGGTGATAGCAGTTACATATCATTGCACTTGCTAGCTGTAATCATTGTAGGATGTATTAAAAACCGTATATCTTCCTTCAGCTAAGGAATGCATGGCTGAGGGAAGTATTTCGACTTTCGACGTTTCCGGTATATTTATATTTTTTCTTTTAGTCTTTCAACATATAAAGTATTTATGCGTGCAGTTCAATAATTTATGAGTTAGTTCGTAATATTATACCTTTTATCTCCTTGTCTTTAGTATTCTAATTTATATTTTACTTAAATTTCATTTACGTTTCAGCTTGTTTTGGCAAACTGCTTTAATTGTGTCGAGGCAAATTCGTTGATAGCGAAAATCTGTTCACAATCTTATCAAATCATATACTGACACATAACTTCACATAGGCGCTGCGTGCCGTAGGTATGAAACGCAGCGAAATGCACATTTATATTAATATAATCTGCCATTTTTGTATTTACTATACAATAATCGTAGGAGAGTTGAAGATTTATATATATTTTTAAAATTTATATTTTTTCAAAATAAATTTTTAAAAATATTTCCGCTAATGTGCATGTCTCCTACGAAAAATTTCGGCAACGCCTATGATGTAATTAAAAGTTTACGATTAATCATGTATATAAGAGAGGGCCAAATCTTACACGTATAATCAATATCCGCGAGAGAAGTTTTTATTGAAAACATCGAATTTCTATGATGAGTTCTATAAATTTGCGATAAATGAATATTCGTAACTATTTGATAATATCTATAGATAGCGAGAGAAGTGATTAGAGGTACATAAGTAAAGTCGGCCCTTTAACTGATAATGGAATGATCATGTTCACGAACTTTCGCCAGAGATTATTAACAAAATATTATATTACAATACTTATATATTTTCTTTTATTGCTTATTGGATATCTATATTGGCTTAAGATCGCCTGACGGGACGCGTATAGGCGCGCAATAATCATCGATAACTTATGTTCTTAAATATAACTTTATATTTTACATTCGTAATAATTTATATTGAAATTTATAAACATAAAGAAGTGATGGAAAGATAACATCAATAAAGATATGTTCAAGGACAGAGTGTAAATATAATTCTTTCCTGTTTATAAAAATGAATGTCAAATGATTCTTTAGTACATGACAAAACTTTTTACATTAATGCTCAAGAATAATGATCTGAAGAGCGTTTCAGTCTTAACAGGATAATTTTCTTTTGTTTCAGAAATAAATAGATAGTTGTATTTAATCGCGGCAGGCAATAAATGTAAGAAAATAAGAAGAAATGTTTCTAATGTGAAGAAATGCTTTGCGACACAAACAACGTATATTTCCCACGTTTGGGATTTAGCATTTTATTAGAATTTGAATACCTTTTTATTTAAAGCCATTTTTCGTGCACTTCAGAGCACCAACATTGATGACATTTAATATCGTATCGATATCAATATGTAACAACGATCTTCTCAGAACATATAGTATCTTGTAATCGAGAATGGTTTGAAATGGATCGAAATGAACTCAAATTTTCAGAAATACGCATTCGCGAATCCTTTAAATTCGATTAAAATGAATCCTTTTCGGAATGCATTTTTATTTATTTATAGGAAATGAAGCATGAAGCACATTTCTATGCCTTTCAATTTAAAAATAATATCATGCTTTTTTCTTCATAGTAAATGCTGCTCAATTCAAAGTTCTGAATAGGAAATGCAGTTTTTCAGTCTAATTGAATCTAATTAAATCCAATTAAATAAAAAAAAGTTTTTTTTCGCTATTTAAAATATGTATTCGGATAGATAAAATTTCAATCTATTTTAATCTATTCTCGTTTACTGGATAATAAATTTACTTCCCTTTCTCCCATTAAGTGCTACAACAATATAACGCTCTTAACTTTTTGTGGACGAATGTCAGATTTCCATTTTCCTTCCCTTTTGTTTTTTTAATTAGGAGAGCAACATGAGGTTTGACGAGCAATTTACAGGAATATATCGCGTCAAACTACACGTAACATATGTTAGAAAATTATGATTTAATTAATTTAGAAATCGTTAAAGTTGGCGGGTATTTCTTTGTTTACACAAGGAACATTCGAGGCGAGGTGGTAAACTGGCTCTCGCGACGACACGATGAGAAAACTATTACAGCGAAGTAGTTTTGGTCAACTTTTGGATACTTGTATTTTAATCTATAAATCGGACATTGTAATACTGTGCAATTTTATTCCACAGTGAGCCGCTCCTTCCGCGTGCGTTACATAATTTACTAACAACAGGCATCCCGGGTGCATTTATATATGTTACGAAGTAATTATTCGACTAATCACGATTTACACTCTCTGTCTTTTGCACACTCTTCATTAGCGTTCATTTTGTCTAATCCTCACAATGAGTCATTTACAATCAATATCTCGAATCTAGCGACACGATACGCAGCACTGTTTCTTATACAGGGGCACCTTACATATGTTTATGGTTTTCACTCTGCACAGTGGCAAGTGATCCTTGCAATCTTCTACAAATGCTAAAATAAAATAACATTATTAAATACAGTATCTTTTAAGATCGTAATGTGAATATATAACAAATCGGAAATAAAGGATCTATAAAACGGTCAAGTTGAATCTTTATCACTTAAAACTTAAATTAGTCCGTGTGAATTTATGTCTGTACTCTCATATCCAATCCTGCGCGCCGAATTTAATTTTCAGTTTTAAAACTCAAGCATTACTTAGAGCATCATAAATTAAATCAACAAGCAAATTAATAATATTGATGCTCACAGCCATCTTAGAAGATGTTAATAATATGATGCTGATGAGCAACAATCCAGTAAATAATTTTACACATTTAAAAAAAATGGTCTGAAAAAATTCCTTGTTTAATATTATTTATTTATAATGTCGCGTTTATTTACAATGAAAAAGACGTTGTTCTCACATGTACTAGTAATTTTTGCGAAGAATATTACTATACTCCGTTCAACGAGAGAATGATCTCGGATCGGACGAAAATTCGTTCGTTTTGTGCAGATCTTCATAGCTTTGTAAAGCATTACATTGCTTACTATGTGCAAATCGAGGTCATTCTCTCGTTAAATAGAGTATAAACCTCGGTCTAATGGTGTGAACGCTTGCACAGAATACAATAGAGATCATCTGCCGAAGTAATATTTTTTGCAATAAAATTATTTATAGATCTTAATATATTATTCAGCATCATCAAGAGCTTTCCAAGATGTCTGTGAGTATCAAATTATTAAATTGTTAATCAATTTACTTTGTAATATTACTACAGTAGTTTAGTCGGCTTCGCGGTTCAAATTCGAAAAATAATTTTGGCGTGTAGTTTAAAACGCATTATTACAGTACTACTATGTACTACAGTACAACTATGTACTAGTGAATACATAATAGTAATATATAAATAAAAATTAATGTAGAAAAAGTTTTTCCTCAGATTCTCGAAATTAAATAGTAAAATTTAGGCAAATGAGAGAAGAGCACAAGTATTAGAGCACAAATATATAGCGTTGCTTCTGGACATGTCAGTTTTTAAAAGAACAATGTATTAGATCAAGAGGCCACTGAAGTGATTTTATTATCTATAGCGACAAGTATGAGAAGTGAGTAATCTTTTATTTCACGTAAAACAAAAACAATACATATATATCTGGATACACGGAGAGAAATCTGTTACAACTTTGGCACCGACAGCCAATAGTACTAGAGTCCTTATAAAGTCTTATTCTACATTAATTGCAAGCTGATCGCAAGTTTGTTGCGACAGCCAATATGAAGTTGATTTCAAATGCTTCAGATTGGCTGTCGCAACAAATCGATCGGCTTGCAACTAATATAGAATCGGTTTAAGAGAGTCGCGTCAATGTGAAGTAAAATGGCGTCTAATAGGGACTCTCTTAGAAAAGGGCTCTAGACTCTCTACTACGTAGAGCATAAAGTCATGGTGGAAGATTTGATTAATAAAGTGAGATGAAATTATTTTAGATGTATCAAAATTATAAATAGGTAGGCCTATACGTTATTATAAAGGCTTTGAATTAAATATATAAAAGATACAGATATTATGTGATAGGAAAGTGACATTCTAATCTTGTCATCAATCATATTATTTTAGTGTCTTTTTTAGCAGAAAACATGACTAAAACATATTAAAACATGACTAAAACATGATTAAAACATATTGTCAAAAAGGGCGTTTAAAATTACCAGTATATGTATACACAGTAGTTTAACGATTTATTTTATTGTAAAATAAAAGTATTGTTAAATGAAAGTGTTATTTTATTACTATTTCATATCATCACTATTTCAGTTCCAAAAGTGTAAAACTAGTTCAGCTATAGAAAACAAATCTACTTCGGTCAATATTTTGTAATTTAACATAAAGTTTGTTAGCGTCGCATGTTCTAACATGTTCTAAAATGCTTCTACCATATCATTTACTCATAACTTTATCGTATTCGTAAATGATTTACTTATTAAAATTTTTAAAAGTAAACAAAATCAGTAATTTAATGAAGTTATTAACATAAAGGATAATAAAAATAAAATTATCTTAAAAGAAAAAAAAGTGTGGAAAAATATGGTAAGGAGAAAAATCGGAAAAAAACCATTTTTTCCCCAAAATTTCCGAGAATTTATTTGGACTAGGAATGCTAGTTGTTAATATATTTTAACAACAGTTCCGGTCTTTAAGTATTTTTAAATAAATTTTCAATCTGAGAGCTACATCTTCAGTTTTAAAAAAATTAATTTTTATTGTGAAATTCTCTTGTTCTCGAAGAGTTCTACAGTTTTTGATAAGTTTTGGTAACAGCTTCGGCATTTAAATATGTATTATTAATTAATTTATTAATGTGAGTGCTCCGCAAGAGTAAAATACTTCCTAGCAACTAGTTCCAGCTGACTTCTTGGCATTTTTTGATAATTCTGTAATAATTCCGATGTTTTCGACAGATGTTTTGTTCAGAGTTCCAGCCTTTAAGCATTTTTGAACAATGTTTTAATATGCACTACGCAATAAATACATGCGGACGCGGACCAGTGCAGATGTACGGTGATAAAATTGGTTAAAAACGCGCGCATGCGTACTGAAAGGTACACTATCTAAGTGAGAGGTACATATCGTCTGCACTGTAGTGTTTTCGCCAGCTCTTAATTGGCGTTAGCAATATAGTAATATTACATATATGCTTTAAGGCTCCTGACTAGTCACGGCAGCCACATTGGAATCATGATGTCAGAAGTGACACATTAATTTATGTTGCGTGCCATTTTTAAATAAAAATAATTTGGACGAAACAAAATGATATCACTTCAAAACACTTGTAAAAATCGATAAAAACTGTCCTTTTCTCCCTTGACAGTAAATGGTTGTAAAAGGCACGTAAAGTCTACATATTCCTATATTCGGGCAGAAACACACGGTCCAAGCACAGCTGTTGAAACGAGTAAAATATACGCTTTTACATATAAAATTCCAAGATAACTTTAGTTTTCATCGATAATTATGACTTTGATAAGTACGAGACAAATCACATTTTTACAATTAAGCAAATAATAACGAAATGGTACGCAACGTAAATTTCGTCGTCAAAACGTCAATTTTCCACGCCTAAGTTCGGCCATTTATCGTGGTGCGGCGCTGTAACACACAACAAGCACTAGAGACATGTTCGTGTGCTCACCTGCGGTGCGCCGAGAATGAACGAGACAGCGAGCTCCTTCTCACACTTGTTTCAAGCAACCGAAAATATTTTCTCGGTAATCTCGGCCGCTCGGCGGCCCTAGACATTAAGACTCCTGACTACTCAGCCAAGAACTCTGCGTTGACGGTGGCGACACAAAATCAGACGGTGGTCTGGCGAAACCGGTAGTCACACACTTAAGCCCATGTCCTGTGCTTGCCTGTGGCGCGTCGAGAATGAACGAGACAGCGAGCTCCTTTTCACATTAACCACTCAAGCGACCGAAAATGCTTTCTCGGCAATCTAAGCTACTCGACGGCCTAAGGCATCAATAAAGGGCGGGAGGCATTCTAAATAACGTATAAGTTTTAATAAATTGTAGTAATAGTGTACTCCTCCCATTAATCCAGAATAATATAAATCATGTTGGAACGCAATAGTTTACAAGATATTTAATTGTTTGATTTTTTATGCACGTTATATAGTATATCTCTCCTTCATAAACTCGAGTAGTAAGAATAGTTCAATAAAAGTAGAATTTTAAAAAATTATAAATCAGCATTTCTCTTCACGAAAGTCTCGAAAAGCCATCAGAAAAGAAATGCGTATGTTTGATGAGACTCGAAACTTGTAAAAAAATATGCAAAAAAAATCGAATAGTTGCAAAAAGTTACATTTTAAGAGATTTTCAAAGCTTTGCATTTAAATCTGAATGAACAGAGAGCGAATGAAAAAAAGGCCTTTTTCGGTGTTTATTTTTTTTCTACTGAACTAATAGATCGATTTTAATGTTCCACGTCTCATTTTGTAGGTATTTCGAATATTTACATTTTTGATACCAAATTTTTTTCATGCAATCAATATTTTTCGTTTTATAAGCGAAAAACGTATTTTTTCCGACTATTCGATTTGTTTTCGCATATTTTTTTTCTATGTTTAAACATGATTAGTGAAGCATTATTTAAACATTATTGTATACGTGATTAGTTAATTTTAATTCCGCTTCCGGGAAAAAATATTTTATATGTAATAATATAAAATTATATAAAATTATATTTGTAATAAATGAACAATTCTCAAGTTGCAAACATACACATTTCTTTTCTGATAACCTTTCGAGACTTTCGTGAAGAGAAATGCTGATTTATAATTTTTTTCCGATAAAATTCTACTTCTACTGAATTATTCTTGTTACTCGAATTTATGAAGGAGAGGTATATTATATAACGCGCATAAAAAATCGTAAACAATTAAATGTCTCGTAAACTCTTGCGTTTTAACATGATTTATACTATTCTGGATTAATGGGAATGATACACTATTACTACAATTTATTAAAACTTATATATATATATGTTATTTAAAATGCCGCCCGCCCCTTATTGATGCCTAGGGCCGCCGAGATTGCCGAGAAAGCATTTTCGATCGCTTGAAACAAGTTAGTGTGAGAAGGAGCTCGCTGTCTTGTTCACTCTCGGCGCGTCGCAGGCGAGCACACGAACATGGGCTCGTGCTTAAATGTGTGCCTACCGGTTTCGCTAGACCGCCGTCTGATTCTGTGTCGCCATCGTTAACGCAGAGTTCCTTGACTGAGTAGTCAGGAGCCTTAATGTTGTCTTCTATTTAACTAACAGTAAGGATACTTAATGGCGGAGTCAATCAGCATTGGCGTCATTCTCTTTATACTCACTTTAATTGAAATATGCCACGCGATAAGTATCGGCTGTCTGTGGCAAAATCATATCAGATTTCTCTTCGTGTAGGCGAAAAATAACTTATTAAAAGAATATTTTTTAGTAAAAATGGAAAAAATT